AAGTCTGGGCTGCATAGTGAGATTCTTGTCTCCAAACAAACAAAGATGAAGGAAATGCTATCTGGGGCTTGTAAGGTGGCTCCGCAGGTAAAAGCTCTTGCCATCAAGCCGACCAGAGTTCAGTCTCCAGAACCCACATAGTGGAAGGAGGGAGCAGACTGAAAAGTTGTCCTCTAATCTCAAGACACAAGTGCATGCACACACATATACACAAAATAAAACAAATGTTATAGAAAAGAGAGGAAAGAGGAGCTGGAGAGGTGCCTCAGTGGTTAAGAGCGTGCACTGCTCACACATATATATATATGGGACCTGTCTTAGTCTGTTCTTCATTGCTGTGACAAAATACTTTGACCAATACCAACTTGGGGAGGAAAGGGTTTATTCAGCTTACATCTCCCAGGTCGCAGTCCATCAGGGAGCCCAAGGTAGGAACTCAGGGCAGGAACCTGGAGGCAGGAGCTGGAGCACAGGCCATGGAGGAATGCTGCTTACTGGCTTGCTCCCCTGGTCCCTGTTCAGCCTGCTTTCTTATGCAACACAGGCCCACCTGCCCAAGGGTGGCACCACTCACAGTGGGCTGGGCCCTCCCACATCACTCATCAAGAAGATGCCCTTCAGACATGGCCACAGGCCAGTCCAATAGAGACAATTCCCCAATTGAGGGTCCCTCAACCCAGGTGTGTCAAGTTGATACTAAAGGCATCCAGCACAGAACCCAAGTTCAGTTCCTAGAACCTCCTCAGGCAAACTGCCTTGTAACTCTAGCTCCAGGGGATCTGACACCTCTGGCCTCTGGGGTTACCTGCATCCCCTACCACATACACCTAATTTAAAATAAAAATAAATATTAAGGAAAATGAAATACTATATAAATGTTATACTTGAACAATTTCTTTAAAATTTTGTGGGTTTGGTTTTGTTTTGTTTTTGCTTTTTTAGGGTTTTTTTTTTTTTTTTTTTTTTGAGACAGGGTTTAATTATGTAACCCTGGAACTCTAGGAAGACAAGGCTGGCCTCTAACTCATAGAGATCTGCCTGCCTCTGCCTCCTGAGATCTGGGATTAAAGACAAGTGCCACCATGCCCAGCTCTTTAAATTTTTTAATATTTATTATTATTATTATTATTATTTTTTTGTGTGTGTGTGTGTATGTGTGTGTGTGTGTGTGTATGATGGCATACATGTGGAGGTTAGAGGATAACTTACAAGAATCAGTTCACTCCTTCACTCCAGGGATCAAGCTCAGTGGTCAAACCTGGCAGCGAATAAATGCTTTAATCTTTTAAGACATTTAGTCAGCCTATAAACTGGAACCATTGCTTTAGAGATATTAGACGTTCATGCAAAGATAAAATTATTCATAATTAGTATTTTCATGCAAATAAACATCACTTAAGTTCTTGACTTTTAAACTTAACCCAAATGTAAAAACGATTTGTTCAATTATCTCCTCAGGAGTTCAAGTTTTGGCCTAGAGCTTTAATGAACAGCAACAGAAACAGGAAAGGGATGATTTTTTTTTCTCACACTAGGAAAGTTTCTTTTGATTTTCCGCCCTGTCCCCTTGCATGCTGGCTGCAGCTGGGCATGACTGGAAAAGGTAACCAGGTGACCAGGAGGAGATAGAGAAGGTTCCAGAACTCGCCTTGCAAGCCAGGCTGTGAGCAAGGATTGTGTAGATGCTTCACCTTTCACCTACATAATCATCTGTGTGTGAGCACACATGTGCAGCCCCGAATGCATGTATGTGTGTGTGTGTGTGTATGAAGACATCAGTACATGACCAGCATGTCACAAGAAAAGAGAAAAAGGATGTCAGATGCTGGCTGGGAACTCAGCAGCTGGCCTCGCCAAAATACTTGAGGATCTCTTGTAAAGATCAGCTTTCCCATGGGGCCAAAAAGAATGCTGGGCCGGGAGACAAAAGGCTTGAATCTTAATCTTGATGGTCATTCATAAAACACCCTTTGTCTATTCAGAAAGATCTTAGTGCTTGGCTTTGTGGGCCAAGGCTAGGAAAGAAGGAGGAGTTTTTATCAAGTTACTCTTTCAATGAACTGAGCTTTCTATGAAAGGATTCAAGCCAACTTCTTTTGGTACATTTTTGTTGAAAAAAAAAAAAGTAAGGCTTGTTTTAAGTTAGAGACATAACACAGAAAATGGCTTGGCCAAACAATTCCAGAAAGCATTTTTTAAAATTAATGATTTTTAAATTGAATTCAATCCAAGGGAGGAAAAAAAAATCCAATGGCATGCTTAGGTTATTTTTAAGCATTTTTTATTAGCATGTATTAATTATGCATAGTAATGATTTCACTATGAAATTTTCATACATGTATACAATGTATTTTGATCATCTTCATCCCATTTACCCTATCCCCTCCCACTGATCCCCTTCCTCTTCCCAACTAGGCACACCTCTTTTCGTGACTTCTCCCTATGTGTATGTGTCTCTGTGTATCATGTGTGACCCAATGATCATTAGCTATACCTTACCAGTTGTTATAGTACTGAAGAAAATGTCTCTCCCTTGGGATACTTAGTGGGGTTTTTTTGTTGTTTTTTAAATAAGGATTACTTGTCTGAAAAAAGATATTTCCCCCTAAGTTCAGTAAATACATTAAACATTTCATTTGCCTGTTCCATAGTCATAAATCCTGTGGGAACCCATCACTGCCCTCAACCCACCATAACAAGGGACCCTGGGGGGAGGTCAATCACGTGTAAGCTGAGTTTTAAGGCTTCTCTTCACTCCCAAGATTAAAGGAAAAGTTGCACAACCTTAGGCAGCTCATTTGAAGACGCTGATCAGCAACTGGAATAGGACCAGCTGCGAAGAGCCGCTTTCCTCCGGGCGCCTCTTCCCTGAGCCATCAGCAGTGGAGTTACGATCAGATATTTATTAGCCGTGCTTCTGGCTGGGCTGCCTCAGCAGAGGGGAAATAAGGCTTCGCAGGAAGGATTGCTCATTGGAGCAGCGCGGAGACGTGGATGAACATCTGCTCTTTAATTACACAAACCCGTCTCCAAGCGCCCCTCCCGCCTGCTCCTTGGTTGCCTACGTTTGCTCATTTCACAACTGTATTTAGCCATGGAATTTCCAGAGCTGCTCCGGCCTGGGGAGGAAGCCCGTGGCCAGTGAGTCAGATTCATAACTCGTGAAAAGGATTATTTGTGCGCTAAGAGTATTTGTCCCAGCAGCCATCCTAACAACCGTGGAAGAGGACACTGTCATCTCCTTCCCCCATGTCTTGGTCCATCCATTTAACCTTTCCTGTAACAGAATACCCAAGACCACATAGTTTATAGACATTTATTTGGCTCATGGTTTGAGAGCATGGCGCCCCTATATGGTAGCACCTTGATGTCATACTGTGTGTTGCTGCAGATCTTCCTCCTCTTACTAAGTCACCACTCATGGATGCCCCATCCTGATGACCTCATCCAGTCCTCATTACCTCCCAAAGGCCCTACACTTAAATACCATTGGCTTGTAATGTGGGGGTTAGGTTTGCAACACATGAGATCTGGGGGGAAAATGCAAAGCTGTGGCACTCCCCCAATTGTGGAATTCAACCAGCCGTCCCACTCCACCAATCCTCAGTCATTCATCCAGGTTGGTGCTGAAAAGTCAGGGTCAGGGCTCCGGGCTAGCTCAAAGTGCTTGCCATGCAAGCCTGAGGGCACGAGTTTGAATCCCCAGAACCCGCATAAAGCCAGGTGTAGTAGTGCACACCTGTAATTCTAGTACTCCTGTGGAAATAGGGGAGACAGAGACAGGACAGTCCACAGAAGCTCACAGGCCAGGTAGCTTGGCTTATGCAGTGGCAAACAAGAGACCTCGTCTCAAGCAAGATGAAAGTTGGGAGCCAACACCTGACTTCCACACACACATGCCATAATATGCACACACGCACACACACACACACACACACACACACACACACACAGGGAAAGGGGCTAATGAGGTTGAGTAAATTTAGCTATGGGTACTAAGCCTTCTAGTTCTAAGGTTCCTCGGTACCTTCAAGGGTATTGCTGACTGCCACGTGCTGATTGGACTAAATCTATGACATTGGTGATCACAGCCAGTGGTCTTAATGATCCACGTAAGAGGCAATCTCATTTCAATGGAGGGGGAGCTTTGGTTTGGTTTGGTTTTAAATGTCATTACATTTCATTTACTCTGTGTATGTGTGTGTGTGTGTGTGCCCCACACACACACGCTGGTGCCATGACACACCTGTGGAAGTCAGAGGACAATCTGTGGTTGTCTCCTACCATGTGGATTCAGGCTTAGCAATAGGTGCCTTTACCCTCTGAGCTGTCTTATTGACCCACAGACTTTTGTTTGTTTCTTTGTTTTGTTTTTAAGATTTATTTCTGTGTATGTATGTGGCGGGGTTATATCTGTGTGTGTGTGTGTGTGTGTGTGTGTGTGTGTGCCTGTGGAAGCCAAAAGGGGGATCAAGCATCTTCCTTTGTCACTCTCCATTTATTCTTTTGGGATAGGCTCTCTCACTGAACCTGGAGCCCACTGATTGGGGAGAATGCCTTACCAGTAAACCCCCAGGAGTCTCCTGTCTCTGCTTCCTGGTTCTGGGACTGCAGGTACGTACCATCATACGTGGGTTTTTTCATGAGTGCTGGGGATCTGGATTCAGGTCCTCACGCACTGTAGGTGCTTTATCCATCAAGCACCTCCTCAGCCCCACAGCCCAGGTGGTTGTTAGCCATAACACCACACTGTCCATCTACCACTCGTCTAAGCATTTTACACTGTAGGTTTTCCTTTGCTTCTCAGTGGGGACAACCAGGACATGGTATGCCTCAGAGATACCAGAAGGACGGGGCCTGGCACTGTGATAAGCCAGAAGGGGACCACACTAAATAGAAGCCCCCCAAAAAACGGCAAGGAGAATCACAACCGTGGGTGGCCAGTTAGCTCCACATACGGCATTTCCGTAATGCAGCCCTGACGGGTCTTTCTTTTTCAGCGGCTATAGGTGGGCTAGAAGATGAGATTGTCACCCCAGGCACAGACAATGGCATGGTGACCCCAGGTCTAGAAGACAAACTAGCAACCACGGCTGCTACTGAAGAGTCTTCTGTGTCTACCCACAAGGCAGCTCAGGTGAGTGTCTTAGGCTTCAAGAAGCTGGCTCCAAAATCATGCAGTCACATGCCAGGAAATAATATATATTATATTTGTGCATAAAATCAATGGGAGCCACCAAAAAGGAGTAGTTGTGTGTCTCCCAACAGAAGGTGTTTCACAGTTTCATCCAATGACGAGGGAGCTGGTGTGGTGATCACAAATGATTTGAGAGCACTAGCCCATGCTTTCTCAAAGCTTTTGATGCTTGCAAACCTATGATCAAGTCTGGTGATGCATGCTTGAAATCCCAGCACTTAAAAGGTAGAGGCAGAGGGGCCAGGAGCTCAAGGTCATCCATCCCTGGGTACATAGTGAAATTGAGGCCAGCTTGAGCTATGAGAACCTACCTCAATAAAAAAAAAAATTTTTTTTGCCAGATGTGGCAATACATGCCTTTAATCCCAGCACTCAGAAGGCAGAGGCAGGTGGATCTCTGTGAGTTTGAGGTCAGTCTAGTCTCCATAGTGAATCCAGGCCAGCCAAATAAAATTTTTTTCCAAATCTTTGTTTTAATATTTTTTTTGAGACAGGGTCTCCCTGTAGCCCCAGCTGTCCTGGAATTCACTATGTAGACCAGGCTGGCCTTGAATTCACAGAGATCCACCTGCCTCTGACTCCCGAGTGCTGGGATTAAAGGCGTGGGCCACCACGCCTGGCTGTTTTAAATTTTTATTTATTATTTCTATGTGTATGAATGTTGTGCCTGCATGTAAGTGCACCCATGTTGTGCAATACTCATAGAGAACAGAAGAGGACATCAGATCCCCCGGAACTGGAGTTATGCAAGATTGTTAGCTGCCATGTGGGTGCTGGGATTTGAACCTGGGTCTTCTGCAGGAACAGCTAGTGCTTTTAACTACTGAGCCATCACTCCAGCCGTCAAATCTTTATTTTTATTTTATTTTTCATGAGTATGAGTGTTATGCCTGGATGTATGTAAGTGCACCCATGTTGTCCAATAACCACAGAGGCCAAAGAGGGCATCAGATCCCCTGGAACTCGGGTTACAGATGGTTGTTAGCAGCCATGTAGGTGCTGGAAACCACACCCAGGTCGCCTGCAAGAGCAGCCAATGCTCTTAACGACTGGGCCATGTCTCCAACCCCCATCAGGGGTTTTATAAATAAAATTATATTGTAACAAAGCAGTGGCCATTTGATTGGAGCTGCCTGGCAACACTGATGTGGTCAGGGCAGGTTCGAGAGACGTACAGAGCTGAAAAGACATCATTTGGCTTTTAGAGACAAAGTTTGCCAACTACTACTCTAGTTCAGTCTAGTTCATATTTTGTTCAAAGACAGTGAAGTCATTTAAAATCACCTTTTGGGGGTTGGAGATGGCTCAGTTGGTAAAGTGCATGCTCCACCAGAATGAGGACCTGAGTTCAGACCCCCAGCACCCTCATAAAAAGCTGGGTATGCTGGCATGCGCCTGTAACCTTAGCGCTGGGGGTGGACAGAGGCGAGCGGAGCCCTGGAACTTGCTGCTCAGCTAGTCTAGCCCATTGTTGAGCTCCAGTAAGAGACCTTGTCTTAAAGAATAAGATGAAGAATCTATGAGGAAGTTGCCCATCAGGCACCTCTGCCTTCACACCCACATGTGTATGCTTTCACATACACGTGCACACACACAAAAATAAAAATTTAAAAAATAAAATTACAGGGGCTGGAGAGGTTGCTCAGCAGTTAAGAGCACTGGCTGCTCTTACAGAGGAACCAGGTTTGATTACCCCAGCACCCACTTGGTGGCTAACAACCATCTTTAACTCCAGTTTCAGGGGCTCCAATGCCCTCCTCTGACCTCCAAAGTCATATGACACAGGTGCACTTACATACATTCAGGCAATACACTCACACACATTAAAAAAATTGTTTTAGTTAAAAATAAAATTAGAATTACCTTTTCTATTTGTTTACGTATTGAATGTTTTTCATCCCCTGGCTTTCAGAATGTGAGCTTAAGGAGGTGCAGGCAATGACCATCACTCAAACTAGATCCCCGATGGGCTCGGAACCACAGAAGGCCCATAGTACATTAGCATGTTGTTCTTTTATTGTGGTTAAAAAGGGGGGAAGGTGCTGGAGAGATGGCTCAGCAGTTAAGAACACTTGCTGTTCTTCCAGAGGACCTGGGTTTGATTCCCAGCATCCATAAGGTGCTAACAACTGTTCCTGTTCATAAATCCAGTTCCAGGGGATCCAACGACCTCTTCTGACCTCTGAGGGCACTGCATGACAGGGTGCACTTACATTCATGCTGGCAATGCACTCCACATAAAATAAAAGTAATAAATAAAATTTTTAAAAATAAGAAAAAAAATTAAAAACACAAAAGTACTTACCCTCTTAGCCTTTTGAAGTGCGCAGTTCAGAAGTGTTAAGAACATTCAGCTGTTCTACAGATCTCAAACTGTCTTTGTCTTGTGACTCGAAACTCTGTTCCCATAAATACCTCCTCATTGTCCCCTTAACCACCACTGCGTATCTGTATCTGACTAACCCTAGGTGCCTCAATAGAGTCACACAACATTTGTCTTCACTTAATATGATGATGTCAGGGGCTATTTGTGTTGTTCTGTGCCAGAATGCCTTGCCTTGTTAAGGCTGAGTAACATTGCACTGTAGATCGTGTTGTGTTTATCCATACTCCCATCACTGGACGTTTGGGTGCCTCTCTTGGTAATTAAGACCAATGCTTTTCGTGGTGGTGCACGCCTTTAGTCCCAGCACTTGAGAAGCAGGCAGATCTTTGTAAGTTCAAGGCCAGCCTGGTCTACATAACGAGTTCCAGGCCAGCTGGGGCTACAGGGAGATCCTGTCTAAAAAGACCAAAAAAAAAAAACTATTGCTGTTATAAAACACTACCCTGTGGGTGTGCAAACATCTCTTGGATACCCTGCTGAGTCGGTTCTCTCCAGAGGTCGAAGTCAGGGTGTCAGGCTTGGCAGCAAGCGCCTTTACCCACTGAGCCACGTCCCCAACTTTCTGAATTCTTTTGCGTACACATCCAGAAGTGGGACTGCTGGATCAAAAAGCAGTTCTGTCTTCTATTCTGAGGAACTGCCGCGCCGCTTCCCACACCAGCTGCATCACTTTATACTTTATTGCACAAGCAATCCGGTTTCTCCACACCCTCATCGGTATTTGATTTGTCCTGTTTTGTTGTTGTTTTGTGGGAGAGGGTGAATGGATGTGGCTGTGTTCACATGTGGAGGGGTGTGTGGATGGGTGTATGTGCACATGAGATGCCTGCATGTGGAGACTACAGGTGAACCTTGTGTCGTTCTTCCACAGCCATCCACCCTGTTTTTTTTTTTAATTTTATTTATTATTTTATGTGTATGCGTGTATTGCCTGCACGTAGGTAAGTGCATCCATATCTTGCAATGCCCATGGAGGTCAGAAGAGGCTGTTGGATCCCCTGGGACTGGAGTTATGGACAGTTGTTAGCTGCCGTGTGGGTGCTGGGATTCGAACCTGGGTCTTCTGCAAGAACAACCAGTGTTCTTAACCGCTGAGCCATCTCTCCAACCCCCACCCTGTTTTTTGAGACAAGGTCTTTGGGACCTGGAGCTCACCAATTCGACTAAACTGGCTGGGCAGGGAACCCCAGCACCCCAGCAATCCGCCTGCCTTCACCTCTTCAGAGTTAAAATTGTAAGCATTGTGCCACCACACTCAGCTTTTTCTTTTTAGAATTTTTTTTTTTTTTTCCTTTTTGAGACAGGGTCTCCCCGTAGCCCCAGCTGTCCTGGAACTCACTATGTAGACCAGGCTGGCCTGGAACTCACAGAGATCCGCCTGCCTCTGCCTCCCGAGTGCTGGGCTCTCAAGTGTGCACCATCACACCCGGCTTGTTTTGTTTTGTTTCCATAGTTACCACCATAGTAACATAACGTGAATCAATATCTTGTATTTTTGAATTGAGTTTATCTGATCAGTGATATTGTGAACTTCTCACATGCTTCTTGGCTATTACTGCATCACCTTTAAAGAAATATCTATTCAAATCCTTCGCTTGGTGTTTAATTGAGCTATTTCAGGTTTTTGTTATTTTTGTTTAGCTGTAGGAATTCTTGTTGCCTTTTGTTTTGGTTTGTGTTGAGTTGGGTTGTGTTGGGTTTTTTGAGACAGGGTCTTGTTCTAAAGCTCTGTTCAACTTGGTACTGTGTAGCCCAGGCTGGTCTCTAATTCATGATAAACCTCTTGAATGCTGAGATGATAGGCATTCATCACCATGCTGAGTCCCAGTTCTAGGAAGTTTATTTTTTTTCTTTCAGTTCTAAAGTTGGATCCCAGGCCCTCTCACATGCTTCATGGTCACTCCACCACTGAGCTACATCTCCTCCGTGTTTTCATGTTTCTGTTTTGAGATGAGAGATCATTAAGTGGCCTATACTGGCCTTAAACTCATTCGGTTGCCTTAGCTGGCCTTGAACTTGGAATCCTCCTGCCTCAGCCTCCCAAGTAGCTGTAATCCACAGGCCTGTGCCACCAGGTCTAGCCCATGTGTCTTAGGGTGTTTCTCTCTCTCTCTCTCTCTCTCTCTCTCTCTCTCTCTCTCTCTCGTATGTCTGTATCTGATCTCCTAGAACTTCAGCTGCAGGTTGCTGAGAGCTGCTCACCATGGGTGCTGGGAACTGAACCTGGGTCCTCTGCAAGAGCAGTTGAGCTCTTAACCGCTGAGCCATCTCTCCAGCCCCTGCCTTGGGCCTCTTTATATCCTTATCACATTCATGATTTTTCGTTAATCCTCCCCTCCTGTAAGATGCGTTTCTACTCTATTGGTTGTGTCCTTTGATACTGCTGGCTTTGCTGTCTGACTGGTCCATTTGTTTGGTTTGGCTGGTGTGCACTCACTAGCTGATTTCTCACAGGCTTTGTTGATGTGAATTTTGCTGAGGTTAGTTTTGTGCCCCAGTATATGGTCCATTTTGGAGAAGGTTCCATGAATGGATAGACTATAAAAGTCACCCGTAGGTACGAATGGACAGACTTTATAAAAGTCACCAAGACCAAAGTGGGATTGGAAATTCAGTCAAAGTCTTAGTCCCAGCCCTTAACAGTCATGGAGGAGAGAGGGGCTCGAGGTTCAGTTTGAATTGATCACCACTGGCCAGTGATTAATCAGTCACACATAGGTAATAAGGACTCCTTAAAAACTAAGGACAGGGCTCAGAGAGCTTCAGGGTAGTTCCCTGTAGGGGGCGGTGCCCAGAGAGGTCTTGAAAGCTCCGCATCACTTCTACATAACCTCACTCTGTGCATCCCTTCATCCATATTGTTTGCTCTGTCGTCATTGATGATGAACCAGTAAACATTCAAAAAAAAAAAACAGAACTGGACTGAGGAGCTGGCCCAGTTAGGAATGTGCTTGAGAGTCTGAGACTGATCCCCAGAATCCACATAAAAGTTGGACATGCTGGTACCCACTTATAACCCTAGCTCTAGAGAGTCAGAGACAGGTAGATCCCTGGGACTTGCTGGCCAGCTAACCTAGCCTACTTGGCAAGCCCCAGGCCGGTGCCAGACCCTGTCTTATGAAACAATAATCAAAACAACAAAAGAATAAAAAGAAGAAATAAGGTGGATGGCACTTGAGGAACGGCACCAAAGATCAGCCTCTGGTCTACATACACACCAAACACACACACACACACACACACACACACACACACACACACACACATACAGAACTAGAGCCATTTCCAAGTCCTGCTGTGTCAACGAATGACTTGAGTTTGGGCATTCTGTGAAGTCTCTCTAAGCTTTGTTCATCTGCTACAACTACCCATAGGATCTACTTTATGAAATTGTATATGGAGTACGTGAGCATGCATTTAAAGGGCCTGGTACAAAGCAAGCTCCCAGTGAAGGTGAACTACCACTCTGCATGTATTTGCCAAGTAAACATTTCAAGAGAAAAGTGCTAGTCAAGTTCAAGGGAGAGAAAGAATTAAGCTCTAGTGATTCAGGGTTTGGGGAAGAATTAAGAGGCAGGAAGTCTGCTTGCCAGTTGTTTAATTTCCTTGACTAGACCTGGTTTTATTCTTATCCCATCCTTCTTGCTTGTTCCCTTGTTTACAACTTGGAATTTGTGCCAGTATATGTTTTCTATATTTATGCCCCTTTACAGTGTTTCCTGTGGTAGGTCAGCCTGTGCCTGTTACCCTTTGGTTTTTTCTTCTCTTCCTCACGTCCCTCACAGGCCCTGACAAGCACAGAGAGCAGAACAAAGTCTCCCATTGAGGAGCTGCCAACTCCAGGAGGCTCCATCCAAGGTCATGAAGAAAATAAGAGTACGACCACTGTCAAAGTTGTAACTAGCCACTCTGTGGACAAGAAGACCAGTCACCCCAATAGAGGTGGGTCTATTTTCATACAGTCCGCATACCTGCATGTCCCTGAGCAGCTGGAATAATCAGGAACATGCTGGAATGTGAGTCAGTTCTGAACCAGGCTTTGTGTGGTGGGCACAGAATTCAACATATCAGTTCCTAACTTAAATTTAGAATGTATTGGCCTGCTGGAGATACCTCTTTCTTTTGCTCTTGTGTTATGAGAAAGGGTCTCTCACTGGCCTGGGGCTTCTCAGTAGGCTAGACTAGCTGGCCAGCAACCTTGACTAATACCAGTGATAGCCTCCTACAAAGGCAAGTCACTGACTCCTGCTGTTATTTTGATGACCTTGTGCTAAGAACCTTGTATTGAGGTGGGTGTGGAGGTGGGAGTGGTGGCACACACCTTTGAACCCAGCACTCAGTAGAGTAAGGTGGATCTCTGTGAATCTGAGGCCAACCTTACCTACATGGCAAGTTCCAGGTCAGCCAGTGCTAATATAGTAAGACCCTGTCTCAATAGATGATAGGTAGGTAGGTAGATAGATAGATAGATAGATAGATAGATAGATAGATAGATGATAGATAGATAGATAGATAGATAGATAGATAGATAGATAGATAGGAGATAGGTAGATGATAGATAGATAGATAGATAGATAGATAGATAGAGATAGATAGATAGATAGATAGATAGATAGATAGATAGATAGATAAACAAACTTTGTGTTGGACCAGTCAAATGACAGAGGGTAAAGGTGCTTGCTGCCAATTCTGACAACCTGAGTTCAATGTCCAGAACCCACATCCTGGAAGGAGAGAACTAACTTCCTACAGTTATTCTCTAACATCCATTCTCAGCACAAAACACATCCATTCTACAGTAAAATTTCCCATCTTACATTTATGACTATGTACATGGGTCAAGAATCTATTATAGGCCATATTTGCCAGGACTTTGGATTGTGGTCATCATCTGAGTGGGCTCCTACAGTAGTATATGGTAGAGAGACCTTGAAGCCCTGGGGTCTTGGTCATTATCGTGAAATTTAGAGGTGGATGGAGGAGGGGGAGGGGGAGGAGAAAAGGTTGTCCTTAGCTTCCCAGTGGAAAGATATCATTCCTAGTTCTAGAGATTTCTTGAGAGATTTAGTTAGGGGGCTGGAGAGATGGTTCAGCAGTTAAGAGCACTGGCTGCTCTTTCAGGGGCTGTCCTAGTTTGTTCTTCATTGCTATGACAAAATACTCTGACCAATACCAACTTGGGGAGGAAAGGGTTTATTCAGCTTACATCTCCCAGGTCGCAGTTCATCAGCTAGCCCAAGGTAGGAACTCAGGGCAGGAACCTGGAAGCAGGAGCTGGAGCACAGGCCATGGAGGAATGCTGCTTACTGGCTTGCTCCCCTGGCCCCTGCTCAGCCTGCTTTCTTTTGCAACACAGGCCCACCTGCCCAGGGGTGGCGCCACTCACAGTGGGCTGGGCCCTCCCATATCGCTCAACCATCAAGAAGATGCCCTTCAGACATGACCACAGGACAGTCCAATAGAGGCAATTTCCCAGTTGAGGCTCCCTCAACCCAGGTGTGTCAAGTTGACACTAAAGCTATCCAGCACAGGGGACCAAGTTCAATTCCCAGTATGCACATGGCAGCTAACAATCATCCGTAATTCCAGTTCTGGGGAAATTTGATGCCTTCTTCTGACCTCCATGGGCATTGTATGACACAGGTGCACTTACATACATGCAGGCAATACACTCATACATATAAAAATCAAAAATAATTTTTAAAATTGTCATAAATTTCATACCAAATATATTTTTGCAGCAACTATTGTAAAACTTTATGAAGTAGGGGTCAGGGATTTTGTTTATTTCATTGGGTGGTGGGTATTTTGGGTGCTCTAATCCAACACAGCCCCTTCCTCATGTAAGAAAATGCTCCACCACTGACCTATATCCCTTAAAGTATTTTGAAATAAACTTACAGCTTGCTGCAAGTTGTTAAGAAAACATTAACATTTAAATACCACCTATATCATTCCTAGTATAGGAAGGAATAATGAGTATTAGAATGCATTTCAAAATTATAGAGAATTACTTTTAACATGATTTGGTAGCTAATTAGCAGCCCAAAATACGGCCTTCTACGTTCATGAGGCATTCTTTCTATCATTCCAGGAAACCTCTTTTCTATGTTTTAAAAAACAGCTGGTGAGCCTAGAGGGTGGCTCAGTGGTTAAGAGTGCTCGAGGACCTGGGTTCAATTCATACCACCCACGTGGCAACTCACAAGGGCCTGTAACTGCAATCCCAGGAAATCCTATGCCTTCTTCTAGCCTCTGTGGGCCCCTGCATACATTTGGTACACTTACATCATGCTGGCACACACATACATACATTATAAATAAATAAATCTTTAACAAAAACAACTGGACATGGTACTGCACACGTGTAATCCCAGCATTTGGAAGAGAAGGCAGGGGGATCCTTTAAAGGTCAGCCTCAGCTGCACAGTGATTTCAAAGCTAGCTTGGGCTATAGAAAGAAGTGTATAACTTCAACGCCCTCTTTTGGGTGCACCAGCTCCAGGAACCTCCATGTGTTCAACTATCCAGAAGCCCCCCAAACCCTCTCCTTTTGGGGGTTTTTGTGGTGATTTCATTGCATAGCTGTGATTAAGGCATGAGTAACTGAAAGGGATTGAACAAGGAGTCTGTCTGGTCTATGCTAACAGACTGGGTAGGGACCCCTTAGGCCTGTCTATTCTGGTCTATGCTAACAGATTGGATAGGGACCCCATAGGCCTATCTATTTTGAGTCTTCTTGACCCTACTTTGCAATGTTCCTTCCTCCAGGGCTCCAGGGTATGAGGCAGGATCCCTCTGGAATGATGGGGGTCTAATGGTCTACTATGGAGCAAAAATAAGTGAGAGAGATTTTCTTTATGACCACCTCGAAGATAGAAAAATATGGGAGCAGATTAGTGTTCATATTATTACTTTTTTTGTTGCTATGACAAATACCTGACAAGAAGCAATTTAAGGGAGAAGAGATTTATTCTGGCTCACAGTTCAAGGGGATACAATCCATCATGGCAGGTAATGCATGGAGGCAAGAACGGGAGGCTGCAGGTCACATTGCATTGGCAGGTAGCAGACAGAGTAAACACGAGGGAGGCTAAGCTATAGAAACTCAAGGCCCACCTGTAAGGACATACTTCCTCCAGCAAGGTACTACCTCCCGAAGGCTTTGCAACCTTCTCAAACTGTGACACTAACTGGGGACCAAGTGTTCAAATGGATGCACCTATTGGGGGATGATTCACATTCAAACCTTAACAGTTTCTTAGAACTTTTTTCCTTCTGTGTGTGGCTCTGGGGATCAAACCTGGGATGCACTTGGCATATTGGGATTCTAAGTTAGCATTCTGCCATTGCAGTATATCCTTAGCCCAAGGTTAGAGCTTCAGTGACCTGCTTTGGGGAAGAGGAATTCTAGTTTCTATGGATTTTGGGGGCAAGGGCATTATAACCCAGGAAGTATAGTTGGAAGCCAAAAAAATGCATACCTTCCTGTCACAGCTAGTTTGGCCTTTGGTGAAAGCTGTTGGGTCTCTATGGCATTTTGAAAACTGTGAGCTGAGATTCTAGAGAAAGGTCTGATATTCCATTCTCTCCAATTTCTCACTGGACTGCGGGCATCTTGATTTCTACAACCTAGGCAAAGAGCCACCCTTAAGGCCACAGAATTAAAGACTCTGTATAAAGAGGTTAATGAGAAACACTAAACAAAACACCTTTGTTCTAAAATAGGAATCATGTGAAACTATCTACAAGAAACACACAGTAGAGAATATGTACAATTTAGTTGAGTGAGATTGATCTGCAGGCAGAAATCCTAAAGAAACAGGCAAAAGTCACAAGGATTGAATTCTCATTCAACCTAGCAGGGCAGACTGCTGTTGTATGAGTAGATCTGGCCACCAATGGAATGAGGAACAGACAACATAAGCTGACTAGCAGCCCTGGTCACCTCTTCCCAAATCAGAGCATTCCTCTGAAAATGCTTAGAGGCCCTCATTGCATTCCGTGAGTGTTTCAGGATCTTGACCCTGGATAAAGCAGTTGAACCTGGATTCTTTTGCTAACATCATGCTTGAAAGTTTCATTTATTTCACAACTCTGCTTTATTTTATTTTATTTTATTTTATTTTATTTTATTATTTTATGTGTATGAGTGTATTGCTTGCATGGAGGTTCGTGCACTTGTGTCGTACAGTGCCCTCAGAGGTCAGAAGAGGGCATCGGATCCCCTGGAACTGGAGTTATGGACAGTTGTTAGCACCATGTGGGTGCTGGGAATTGAACCCAGGTTCTCTGCAAGAGCAGTCAATGCTCTTAACCCCTGAGACATCTTTCCAGCCTGACCCTGCTTTTAAATTGGGTGAGGGGGGAAAAAAAAAGTCATGTTTGCAAAAGTACAGTGAACACAGGTGGGAGGAAGCACTCGAAAATTTGATGATGATAGTTACAGAGACAGCGTGCTGTCAGAGCTTGCTTAAAAACCCTCCACCTAGTCTGTTTAGGAAATTACTGCCTTTGCATATGATTTGTTACATTCCACCTAAGGTAAATTCATCTACCAACTGTTAAATAATACTTATTAAATCCTAATATTCTATATCATTACATGTTTCTCTTTTCAGACAACACACTTGAAGAAACACAAACGACAGGTAAGAAAGGTGAGATGTGGGTCCTCCTATGGGAGTTGAAACGTTTCTTTGAACCTAATCTTTAAGAAGAATTCTAGTCTTTCTTGGATCATCTTCAACAAGAACAGAATAGGATGCCTTCCAAAAACAGACTGTACACCCCTCCCTCCCTCCCTCCCTCCCTCCCTCCCTCTCTCCCTCTCTCCCTTCCTTCCTTCCTTCTTCCTTCCTTAATTCCTTCCTTCCTTACTTCCTCCCCTCCCCCTTCCCTTCCCCCCCCCCTTCCTTCCTTCCTTGCTTTGTGAAGCACTGGGAATTGAACCCAGGGCTTGGTGCATGCTAATCAAGCGCTCCACCACTGAGAAACATCCCCAGCCCTCTTTTTAACTTTTTCTTTTGAGATAGAGTCTTGCTAAGTTTTGCTAAGGCTGGCAACTCTGTTCCCAGGCAAACCTTAAACTTGAGATTCTCCTGCCTCAGTTTCCCAAGTAGCTGGGATCACAGGTCCAGCTTCCTTTGTTCTAATTATTGGGCAGAAAAGAGGAATTCCCTTTATTTGAAAAGAAGTGGAGCTGGAGGTATAGCTCAGTGGTAAAGCACTTTCCTAATGTGTGATCCCAGCACTACATACACCTATGCACATACACATACACACACACACACACACACACACACACACCACAGCATAAATGAGTAATCTATTCACTATGACACTTACAGAGGATGGCATCACGTTACAGTTTATGATTACTACACTCTATTAAGTTGGCACCCTTATCTATTCATTTTAGTGGAAATCCTTTGAGTTCCCTTTAATATAATATTGGCTATAGGTTTGCATATGTAGCCTTTATTATGTTGAAATATATTTCTTCTATTCTGAGTTTCTTTAAGACTTTTATCATTGAAACACTATTCATCAACAGTGAACGCGGTGTATTGTGCATGATAGATACAGAGACTCAGAAATCTTTTCATTAATAAGATGGGATTACAGCAGAGATGGGTCTGTAGCTTAGCCCTGCGTGCTCAAGGCCAAGTTTGATCTCTGGCACCAAGAAGGAAAGGAGAGGGGCAGTGCTGTTGTTTGCAGGTGCGTTTCTTCTCTGGGACTCATGTTCTTTCTCCCTTGGCATTCAGGTGGCTTGGCAGTTGTGACCCTGGTTGGAATCATAGTTGGGGTCTTGTTAGCCATCGGCTTTATTGGAGGCATCATCATTGTGATTATGCGGAAAATCTCAGGAAGGTTCTCGTAAGTAACTCCTTACCCCTGTGTGATATGTGAACCAAGGCAATCCTGCCCATAGCTCCAAACTTTGAAGTCAGAAACCTTCACATAGGGTCATGTTCAAAAGCCCACTACCTCCACAAATACTGCATCTGAGTTTCCTCAGAACTGATGTCGGCTTTGGTTTAATAAGTTTCTAAAACAGATTGAGCACAAGATTGACTTCCTTTGAGATCTGAGCAGATTTGATCTCTTGTCTTAACTTTTTAACTAACTAAACTTGAAAGAAAACTCAAACCAAGTTTTAACTTGATCCTAATCTCTTTGTGCCCTCCAGCCATCAGAGACAGGTGAGTTCTGAAAAAGCACCTGTCAGGGAGCCAAGCCCCAGTTCTGGTGAGGTGTTGCACCGGGGGGAGGCGTCTTTTGCATTTATGCCCTGCTCCACACTTGCCCTGAGCACCCTGCCACCACACAGATCAAGTCACTGTATGCTCCTAGCATTGACTATAAGGGGGAGGCAGTCTTCCTCTTGATTAAACCTTTAGAATCCAGAATATTTACATTCAGGACTAGAAGAAAACCCTTTCTTAGTTCTTTTGGAGAGAAATATGACGGGTCACGGATGGGGAGGAGAAAGGATGGGTGACCCACAACTGGGAGGTGGATTGACATTCAACCATAAATAAATGCATCCCATTTGGAAATGCCTGGGATCCTGACCTGGCTGTGTGAGGATTAGGTGTGGAGGGGAATGACTGGAAGAGAAGGACACAGGGTTCCAAAACAGAGGAAGGGACAATCAAACATGACTCATGGGGGTGGAGGTGCGAGTCACAATGCCAGTAAAAGAAGTAATAATTCTCTGTATTTTCACAGGCCCTAAAGAGCTTCAAGGATCAGGCCATTCTCCCAACATATCTGAAAAAAAGAAGAGAGTCCCTGATTTCCCCCATCCCCTATCCTCTGCTTGCGGGAGAAGATGACCCATGGGGTGCTTGCCCAGCCCATTCGAAGCCATGGTGACCTCTCCACTTGCCAGAACTACTAAAGGAAAGACATGTGACAAGACTTGGCTCCTCTAAGAATTTGCCTTTGGAAAAAATTAATATAAATTTTATAATAGATGGTTTTAAAGACGTGCATAGAAAATGAAACAAAATTATATAAACAGACTAGTAGCCAAGACTATCACCAGTCGGGGTTAGTGACTGTAATCACAGCTTCATCCCAGCCATTCCTTGTGATTATTAAGATGCAAAGGAAATCTGGAAATATTTATTATATCCATGGAGGTCTTGGATCCAGTGTTACATCAGTGAATGGCGTGGGCGTTTTGCAATTGCTGTTCTGTTGCAATGTACGCATTCCAGTCTAGTTTTGTCTGTTTTTAGATGTGTGCGAATCATCAAGTTGAAAATTTAAACGTAGATTAGATAACATCTAATCTACAGCTCCTTTTAGGGAGTCTGATTAAACTATTTCAAAGTCATCCATTGCAGATCATAAATAGGAAGTCTGCACTTCTACACTTCGGGGAAGGTGCTTTGCTTCCTACAAGGTCACGTAGCCACTTCTGAGCCAGTGATAGCATCATGACTGGAAAGCTTGTTTCCACCTGCCCCCTCCACTAGTTCTCTTAGGTGATGGGGACCCTGAGTTCAACAGTCACCTCCTCACCTTCCTAGGATACAAACCTTCAGATCAGCTGCTTTGTTCTAGACTGTGGAGATCTCCTCCCAGATGTTGCTGGATGCCACAGGATAGTAGAGGTTCAACTTCTGTAGAGCCAAGAACCGAGCTTGGTCCTCAAACGGACTCCTGCCTGTGCTCTGGCACGGTAAATAAGGCCAACCATTTCTAACATCTGCTTCCCACCTCTAGAGGAGAGACAGCAAGAGCAACAGTCATCTTGTATAATCCTAGTTGTTTTTAAGCATTGTGATGTAAAGATCTGATTTTAAAATAAAAGATTTTCCGGTCTTCACAACATACATCTTTCCAGGGGTTGTATTGAAATGATCAAAATAATGGTGTCCATAGGCACATCCTGCCATGTGCGGTCCAGTTCTGGGCTTCTCTTTTTGTGGACACTGAGTTCTTTTCCTACACACAGGTGGTTGTTTTTAAATCTTTGAGATTTTCATGCAATGTATTTTGACCATATTCACCTCAGCCCCTCCCTTTAACTCTCTCCAGATCCACCCCCATATCCCTACCCCTCCCACTTCATGTCCTCTCTTTTTCTTTTTCATATTTTATTTATTTATGTGTCTGAGTGTATTGCCAGTATGTATGTAAGTGCACCCGTGTCATGAAGTGCCCATGGAGGTCAGAAGAGGGTGTCAAATCCCCTGGAACTGGAGTTACAGATAGTTGTTAGCTGCGAGGGAGCTGCTGGGAATTGAACCCAGGTCTTCTGCAAGAACAACCAGTGTTCCTACCCGCTGAGCCATCTCTCCAGCCCTATTTCTTTTTTTTTTTTAATAACATATCACCTACAGTTTGGCTGCCCAAATACTCTTGGGTATGGGGCCATCCACTGGAGCATGGTCAACCTACCAGAAGCCACACTCTTACAGAAAACTGACTCTCCCTCTCCCAGAAACTATCAACTCTCATGGCTCTTCAGTTAGGGGTAGAGACTTATGAACGACTCTCCAGCCCTATTTCTTTTTTTTTTTTAATAACATATCACCTACAGTTTGGCTGCCCAAATACTCTTGGGTATGGGGCCATCCACTGGAGCATGGTCAACCTACCAGAAGCCACACTCTTACAGAAAACTGACTCTCCCTCTCCCAGAAACTATCAACTCTCATGGCTCTTCAGTTAGGGGTAGAGACTTATGAACACACACACACACACACACACACACACACACACACACACTGGGATGTTGACTAGCTTGGTCTTGTGCAGGCAACCTCAGCTGTTAATGACTACTGTGGTCCTATCATGTCCAGAAGACACCATTTTGCTCCAGTCCACCATGGTCTGCAGCTCTGGCTCGTACAGTCTTTCTGTCTCCTCTTCTGCAATGGCTCCTAAACCTTGAGGAGGGGGTGTGATGGAGCTATCCCGTTTTTGGCTGAACACTTACTCTCTGCACTTTGACCAGTTGCTTACACCATTTTGAACACTGGCCGGATGCTCTTTTGTGCATGGTGGTGGTGCAATCCTGGTATCGTCTAACCTGGTCCTAGATCATAAAATGGGAAAAAAGCAAACTAGTGTATCCATGTGATATCCCAACCCAGCTGGACCAGCAGGCTCCAATACGTGAACATCAGCTGGTTAAAGGGAGCATATTAGAGGAGTCATGTGAGTTTGAATAACCTTCAGCTTCATCTTTGAGATTCCAAACAGGAGCTAGGAATAACGCCCTTCTTTCTGTCTTTTCTTCTCCTTCCTCCACCCTGCCACACTCACTGTGAAAAATGCCAGCCCAACCAAAGTCCTATACTGGACTCGGTGTCTGTGGGGACAGGGTGTCTCAGTCACCTGTGTTATTGTTGCTCAATGCAGTGTAGACAAATTTTCAAATAAAGCAGATGACAGTGAACAAGCATGAGTCCCATCTTTGACTGGACGTCTTTGTTGAGTTCTCTATTAAGCACGTTTCTGATAAGGTTAAAATCTATATGCGCATCTGCCTGTTGACTTAATGGCTAGTAGGGTATCAGTGGTGATGGGAGGTTCATCCATGGGAGACAAATGCACACACCTTTCACCAAGGTCTCTGCTAAAGAAGAGGGGTCAAGGTCAAGAGCGAAGTAGGCTGGAAAGCAAAGGGCATCATGGGGCTTCTCCTGCTCTCTGGTCTCAAGGTTTATCAAGGTCTTGCCTGACCCCGTATTTCTCTGCACTGTGGGGAGAAACCATATGAGAGAGCAGTGTCATCTTACCCTGACACTAAAGACCTCCCTAGGAACTTGACTTTGGGTCCAGAGCTTGGCTGCCCAAGAACAGGAGGTAATGACTCTGGGAGGGGCTTCAGCATCTCACTCCAGAAACCACTTCCTGTTCATTCTGACCCTGCTGAAACTGCCCTGGTTGGCGACCATTCCCTCATTGTCTGTGACCTGGCTCTCCCCACCCCACACTCCATGGGGATTCTGTCATGCTCTGTGACTGTTTCAAGCCTGTACTCACTTGGAAAGCTTGGGTGCTAGCATCGCCCCTCCTTCAAAATAGGTGAAGATTGGCACCAGCAGATGGCTCAGTGGGTAAAAGCGCTTGCCTGCCACACAGTCCTAAGGTCCTGTGTTTGATGCCTGGAACCCATGGGGGAAGGAGAGAACAAACTGAAAGTTGTTCTCTGACCTCCACATGCATGCTATGGTATGTATGTGCTCACACACATACACAATAATATTACTTGTTTTTTCCTTTTTTGACTTTTTGAAGCAGGGTCTCCCTGTAGCCCCAGCTGTCCTGGAACTCATTTTGTAGACCAGGCTGGCCTTGAACTCACAGAGATCCGCCTGCCTCTGCCTCCCAAGTGCTGGGACTACAGGTGTGCGTCACCATGCCTGGCTTATTTTAGCTATTTTTCAACTCAGCAAAAGAAATGCAGATTGGACATGCCTTATCCAAACGTGGAGGAGGCTGTTTTGAAACAAGTCTTGCCAGGCTGCCCTTGAACTCCCAGTCATCCTACTTCTGTATCCCCAGCCTAGTTCTGAGACTACAGCCACGTGCCACCATGTCTGGCTCCAGATTTCAGAACTTGGAATATGTGCATCAGGTTTCCCAGTTGATCCCTAATCAACATCCCTAATCCAAAACTCAGAAATCTACAATGCTCTAAAATCCCAATCTGAGCATTGGTTGGCTCTCAAAACACTTTTGCAGGTTGGAGCATTTCAGATTTCAGAATTTGGTTCTGGAGGTGCTCAACCTATCCTTGGTTTTGATTCCACTAGGACTGTTGAATTTACCAGACATCAGGAATTCTGGGCTCCTGGTTCCCTAGAAAAGACCGATTCTGGTCTATGCATTGCTTTTTACAGAAGTAACCCCTTGGGTGGGTCATGTAGCTTTTGGGGTTCCTTCATAAGGCACTGTGTAGAAAGCCTCCTTTGTCTGGCAGAAAACTAGCCACACCCACTAGTCACATCCAGAAGGGAGTGGGCCCTCCCATTCAGCTAGCATACATTTTTTTTCCTGCCATACATCACTCCGGGGAGAGAACTAGGAAGGGATGGGCTGCCTCGGGTGTGGGGAGTCTAAGAAAACAACTGTCCACTCTTCTATCCAGGACATCTGGGAGGCAGTCAGTGCTGAAGCTCACAGTCAGCACTATGCTAATGCCTGTTGACACACACCTGTAATCCCAGCACTCAGAAAGCTGAGGCAGGAGGAGCATGAGTTCAAGGCCTGCCTGGGCTTTGTGGTGAGACCCTGCATCAGCGGCCCTTCCTGGCTCTCTGCTAGTTGCATCACCAGGAAACCCAAGGTTCACTTTCCACCTGGCTCTAGTCTCTACTCTCACAGTCTCATGTGGGACACTCTCCAAGCGAGCAGGTGTCTGTTTGGTTCCCTGCTATATCCTCATCCCCTTAGGTACCCTGTGTTGCCCATGGTAGCTAGTTCTTTCCTCCAACCCTTTTGCTTATTTGTTTAAGGGAAGATTTCATGTGGTTCAGGCTGTTCTAGCACTTTCTATGTAGCAGAGTGTGGCTTTGAACTTCTGACCTACCTGCCTCCACCTCCACTTAGCTAGTGGGCAATTCTCTGACCTTTCACAGGTGTGTTGTCCCTCTGCCTGGTCGTAGCTTCAAGTAGAAACTCACCGTTACTGCAGAATTAAATATCCATGTCCCTCTTCCAGTCTAAGCTGCTTTCTACCCGTGGCATCTTCCTCAAATATCTCTATAGATGTGCCACCATCACATTCCCAAATGTTCCAATGGTTTCCTG